CCCCAAAACCCCAAAACCCCTATAATAGCAATTTATAATAGATTAAATTCTAAGTTTTTATGAAATTAATATACCAAGTAAATATAAGGAAATCTTATTCTTGAGTAGTATGAACTTAAAGCTTTATACTTTGCTCTTCATTTGTATTCAGATCTCAAAGTATAAACTCTCTTCTTGGCATCATAATCACAGAGAGACTTGAGAGTGTCTTTAAGAGTATTCTTAGGATGATTAAGAATATCTTAAATCTCTTGTATTCTATATTCCTATCTCTTTTGGAATAATCTGAATAAGCAATCTTGAAGCTCACTAGGTTGCATAGTTACCCTCTTTGGCTTAGGCTCAACTCTTATAGGACCTCCTCTGTTATTATTACCTACTTTCTTCTTTTTGGTAAACTCACTGTCATCATCTGAGTCAAACGACTAATTTGTCAAGTCCTTCCTCAACTAATATATGTAGGTTTAGTTCATCTCATATGGATCTTTGGGATTCACTGTTTATACCAAAACTTAATCTTATTGAAAAAACCCTTGTCGCTATTCATTAGTAACTTTGTAGTTTCTTGGTACACAATTAATTCTCTGATTAATACTTAGCATCTACTTCTCAGTTTATCCTGTCCTAGAGTCTTCAGTTATAAAAGCTTAAGATTGCATAGCAAGCATCTCCCTTGCTAAATGCTTCTAAGAAGATTCTAATGCTGTTAATCCATTTTCATCATCCTTTATTGTTGAGTCTACTTCCATATAAGTTTCTTCAGAAGCACATTTCATTAGAGTTTCATTAAGATATCCTGCTCTTGCTAGCTAATCTTGAGGCATACTCTAAAAGTTCATTTTTAGTGACCATCTTTTATTAGAATTGTCTTTAACTAACATCAAACTCTCTTAAGTTTCAAAGTCTATTGAGATTTCTCCTAACTCAATTTGTTGTTGTAGATTTTGATTAGTATTCAACTATTAACCATGACTAGATTAATTAGTTGGAAATGGATTAATCAATCTATCATAAATCTGATTTGGAAGCTATACTCAAATTTAGAATTATGAATAATTTACCCTAACTAAAAATACATGACCAGGGTTAAGCAAAGGATGAGTAGATTAAAGACCACTTGATAGCTGATCTCCTTTGAAATAGTTTACCTTTTGCATCAAATTATAAGGTTTAATATTAAAATCTATTAATCAACTATTGATTCACAATATTCATTTAGCATATTAATTTGGGGTTTTGGGGTTTTGGGGTTTTGGGG